GCTTATTTTATCCCTTATGCAGTCTGTAGCATGGTATGGCCTTCTAAAAACACTGTACTGAAATGCTTCAAAACAATGATATTTGGTCTGCCAGAAAGATCTTCTAGTCCTTAGGTTAGACAAGCAGAGGCAGGATTGGCCTAAGCTGCTGGTATCAAGTCAACTGGGTGGGATCCTGTGGGCTTACCCTATTCAGACTTCAAACAGCAGCTAACCTTTGCACACACATTCCCCTCATCGCCCCATGGCTCACCAGCTCATAACTGACCATCAGACCACAGTGACTTCCTAGCTGGGTGGATCAGCTCACCCCTGAGAGTTGGAAGAAGATGCTAGAAAGAGAAAAAGGTTTCCCCTTCTCATACTTAGTTTGTGGGTGGGTATTCGGTTGGTTACAAGTCAGGGATATCACAGCAGAGTATAGAGTATTACACTACTGGCATACACCAGGCTGACTCCAATAGAAGAAGCACTAAGAGCCTTATTAAAATGGAATAAGCCAGCAAGCAGGGGTGCTGAGATCACTTGCGTGGCCTTGAGACAGGCAGAACTTGGACTACAAGTACAGGTGCTATAATCTGAATTTACAAAAGAATGCGCAGATTCACTGGACCAAAGGACAACTCCAAAATGGAAAAGAGAAACAAATTCCACTATATTTTTCAAAAGTAGCCAAGCACTTTTGAAGCATGAGCATTGCATTTTGCAGTCTAACCAGGTTCCTACAGGTCAGTGAGGTGAACAGGAATGGACCTCCACAGGTGTTTTCCAGGCTGCCAGGCAAAGCTAGCTAATAACTTCTGCTGGAATTGCTCCACTTTCTGTACAGAATTTTTCACGGGTCCAAAACAGATCATTGTTTTGCACATCTCTAACAAGCAGACACAACTATTCTGCTATTGATGTGAATCTCTTCTTCTGTGGGAAACTTTTACTTGGATCAATCTGCCACATAATGAAAGAATCACAGAGTCATTCATCAAAAGGTCTTTATACTGTCTGCATTTTAACTGCTCAGGTCTCACTGTAGATTTCGCTGAAGGGCATTTAAGTATCCTTATATATGTTCTTCACATCTTCACTTAACATTGTTGTATGCATTAACTTCCTAAGCTGTTGTAATGGATTTTTTTTTTTTTATTGCCATTTTAAAAAATACACAAAACAAAACAGCAACGTCAATACACAGCTTAAGATGTCTCTATCCAGTCTATACACCAGAGAACTACAGCAATTAAAAACATCCACTAGTTCTGTCAGAGTCTCAGATAGCCAAATTGCTTCTATGCTTGCAAGGTGCACTGGGTATCCCAGGTTCAATAGCTAAATTTTACTGTCTGTTATCCAGCGCTGGAAAGCCCAGTTCATAGCAGTAGGTGGCATATAAATGTTTTCAGTTTAACCATTAGCAGGTTTTACCTTCTACCTTCCAGAGCATCAGATCCCATGTCCCTTTCTTTCCAAGTGTCTTCTATTTGTTTCTTTGCTGTTGAAAGCATAACGCTACCAGTGCTAAGTTTTCCATTCCAAATACCCCACGTCCTAACATTCTTTATACATCTCCACCTATTTACACCTGCCCACATCTATGCACAAGCTTAGAGTATCATCAGCTATTCCCCATGGTGCCTTTCAGTATCACAGCACTAGTTTTCCCATATTCTCTCACATAAAGTTTTCAAGCTCCTACTCAGTACAATTTTTTGGTTGGGAAAGAAGCATTTCAGACAAGGGGAGTTGGCCATGCTTTGAGGAGTAGGTGACACAGAATGGCGGGCAACTGCTTACAGTTACATTTTATCTATAGTTTAAAAAGAAATTATCAGACACCTGATCAGAGAAAATGGAGCCTTTGAGAACAAAAAGGCAGAAGTAAAGCCTCCACACAGCTTCTGCCCCAAGCCTTCTCCCTCACTATCCTTAAATTCCATTTAGCGCCACAGCTCTGATTCTTTCCACAGTCTGAGAGCAGATAAAATAAAAAGTCCTTAACATGTCTGAGCAAAACTCAAGAGCTACAGAAGGACACAGCATGCTTGGCAGGAAAGCTAAGAAATTACCTGAGAACAGACATCACTAGGTAGCATAATGCAAGGTTCACTAGATACCATTGTGAGGGAAGCGGTGATAAAAAAAACCTGTAAACAAGCACCTTTACCCTCATTAGACTGGCTGAAAAGTAAGGTATAACTAGCCTTGGGGATGTCTGAATTCAGCTAATCCACTCAATGGCTGCATTTCTCCCACTCCTCAGTAACCCAAAAGGAAGCACATCTCTGGTCTTAAATGATATTTAATTCTTACTTCTCTGTGGACAGACTGCGCCTGACGCAACTTTAAAGTCGAACACAGCCCCTCTCTGCTACCCAAAATACAATGGTCAGCCTGTTGCCAAAACTAAAATACAAAATGTTGACTATTATATACATCTCATCAAAATGTATAAATACCTGATGGAAGAAAGTAAGCTGACGGAATTTATCTCTTCCCAGCATATCTAGTGACACGATGAGAAGCAGTGGGCATAAACAAAAACCTAGGAAGTTCTACTGAGGGTGATCAAGGAATGGAAGAAGTTGCCCAGAGTGGTTTTAGACTCTCCAGCCTTAGAGATATTCAGAACCTCACACTGCAAGTGACTAGACGAGATGACCTCCCAGTCCCAGCTATACTATGACTGTGAATTCTGCAAGATGGGGGAAGGGAAACACAGAAAATAAGTAAAGGCCCAGCTAAAGAGCATAAGCAATTAAATAACAAGGGCATAGTTAACCTGTGGCTAAACACAAGTTTTCCCTCATGCTGCTAACTCCCTCCCTGTGCTGGTACACAACGTTCCCTGCTCTCAACACACCATTTTGCTTTTCTCCAAGTCACATACTGATCAGCCATTCCCACATGCAAGGCAATGGGTTGGTCACATGGAAATGCTGAAACAACACTGGAACAAAGCCAAACCTTTCTAGGCTATAAGTCAAAACCCTAAAGCAAACCTAGTGTAATGTTTCTTTGTAGTACTCCAGTGCTCTTTCACATATTCACTCAATAGCACAATATATGACAGAGGTGGTGATACTCCCACAGCAGGAGCTGAGGGTCTTAGCAACTCCCTTCATAAACTGTGAAGGCCCAATCAAACCACACATCTCTCACATCTCCAAAACACGAGGTAAGCTTCCAGCTCCTGAAGATGCTGAGTCAGGTTTTCCAGAAGCTAAGTCTGTATCATAAATATATGTGGGAAAAAGTACACTTACAGCAGAGAGATGACAGTGATATGAATCTGAGGTAAGTCACTGTTCCAATATACTGCACTTATATGTACATCACCTTTCAGTTTTGGTGAAATTTCACTAGTTCTAGCATCAGAAGATTGTTTTATTTTGCCATTTTTACAAAGTTAGTATCTGAAATTATTTTACTTATTGTGCACAGTATTCTACCCATTTGATTTTAATAATTCAATAGTCAACTACAGGAAGTTATAAAGAAGACAAGTCAGATGATGGAGGTTCCTTAGATGGCCTATTGAGCCTCAGTTACCAGCTTGGTCACTGCCACTAGCTTGTTGGATGACCAACACAAGTTCCTCTGCTAAGAAGAACAGGTTCTACAACATAGACATTCACCGCTTTCCTTAGATTTACTCAAAGCCAAATAATAAAGGCAGTCTTCACTCAAAAGACCTACTTTCAAAGCTGGGAGTATCCCTGAGCAAGTCCATTCCCTTTGTAAAGAACATGCCAAAGCTGTAGCAGGGCCTGTATACAGCAGTGGTCTATAAATACAGAAAGAGGTATTACCTATTATTGTTGGGTAAAGGAAAGTCAGAAGCTTTATTTTTTCTTTGCCATTCTCAGCAGCAGACACAGGACAAATACACAATGCTATTGCTAACCACAGCTATCACCTGTCAGTATCTCACAGAACAGGACACGTCCCCCAAGTACTTTAATGCACAAAAATCACCTACAGTGATTTTTACCCTCCAGTACAGATTTAGTCATGCAGTGTACTCATTCTTCAGGGCACATCTGTGAGATCTTTACACTGCTGATCTACTCTTACAGAGTTATCAGTCAAGACCATTTCTCCTCACCACTCAGCTTTCTTTGACTAATTAGTGCAAAACATAACTTCAGCTCAGAGCCAGTACTGTACAAAAATGTGGTCCATTCTTATATTTTCGTTTCCTTCTCTCTCCACACAAAAATAAGAGGCAACAGACTTTAAAATACTCTCTCTGAAGGCAGATGTTGAATCCTATCTTAAGCAGGAGACAAGTAATTATGTCATGGAGTATAGTCCAATTTTAGCTGAAGCAGAAGTACTTCTTGAAATACTCTACTTTTTGTGAACCCTTGTAAGTCAAAGCTTATTGCTTTTACAGTTGAAAAGCTTCCTACAGGCTCAACTTATTTAAGAGACCAGCTGATTCAGCTCCAGAAGAGGTTACATTTCTACGATTACACCTCGTGTCGATTAGTACATTAAACATGACTAAGCTTGTTTTCTCTCTCTCTGAAAGCAGATGGGGAGGTAGAGAGAGGCAGGAAGGGAAAGGGAAAATGAAAACAATCTTAAACTTTAATTATGCAGCCAAAACTTAAGTTTTATTTCAGAAGCTGAACAAGGTGAAATGAAAAGTTATATCCAGAACTTATAAACAATCAGTTCTTTCATTTACTGCAAATAATAATTTTCAGCTACACAGAGTAGTAAGGATTATTATAGAAATAATACTCTTAACAGAACAAACGCATGGGCTTGCCATTCAACACAAGAATTTACTCTGTGCATCTTGCACATAATTTGTGCATTTGTGTTTTCTCCTTCCTGTACATCTTAAGCTTCAGAGGTAGATACAGTCAAATTTTCCCTTTGGATTGTCCCATCATCCTCTTTTACATCAGAAAAATACTTGTGACTGGAGCATTAGAGCAATAAGCCAAATCAAGGTTGATTTTCCTCCAAAACTTGTTCCTCCAAATCCATAATAATCACTGTTTCCTCCTTTGATTCTCCTTCTTGACCTTCCAAAGGATTAGTTCCATACAAGCGATTGCACTTTCCCTGGAATTATGGCCACCAACTAGAGAAGAGCAAAAAAAACCTGAAGTGTTAGATTATGTATTTTTTTTAATAAAAGAACAGTAGTTTTGTTTATTAAGCCGAACAATTGTTAAGAATAAGACAATACTTGATATTCAGACAGGTTTTGGTGTAACTTCTTGCTACCAGGATGCAAGGTAATAACCACACACTTCTAGCAGCACAGTGTTGTCTGACAATATTCAGTCTCCCACTGCATCCTCCAGCTTCAACACCCAAAGGAGCTTGGATTAGTAACCCAGGGTATCCAACATAACTGTCTTTGGAAAATCAGCCTCCAAGTCACATACTTTCACATCAGAAGTTGAAAAAGCAACAGATGACAACCTGATTTTGCAACTAGACAGTAAACTTCTACATTGGTTAATTAAGGACAATCTACTTTTCCAGATCTACTGAAATGCTTCACAAAATCTGAACAGAATGGAGTTAAAGGATTTAAATTATATACAGTTATACACTTTTATTACATGTTTAGTCAAAGCTACAGTCAACAACTTACAAGTTTACACATTTCATACAATTCCCATAACTACAAAAAGTAGAAAGGTCTTAATGCATTCTGGCCAGAAAACAGTGGTAGTCATCCAAACAAGAAATGCCTACAGTCCTCTCAGTAGTTAGCACTTAACGTAGGCATCAGAATAGCCTTCCTAACATTAAGTCAACACAAGAAAATGCTGGCTGCCAGGATAATGGTGGTTAACTAGAAGTTCTAAGCACTCCCTACTGAAAGCCAAAGCTGCATGTTGGGGACCTCCTAGAAACTTGAGGATAGGTGGAGAATAGATCTACTATATTCAGCCATCATCTTCACAAACAAAAATCTGACAGTGTAAAAATTGTCACATAAGGTGTCACATCAGCTCATTTGAAGATGTGTACCTCATTAAATCCTATATGAGCCGATCAAGGGAAATCTAAATCCTGTATGGTTTAAGTTATGTTAAAGATACCATTCTGAGTACAGAAGTTCTAATAAAGGTACAGAAGATTTCAGATAAACAGATTTGGGACAGGGGCTGGTTATTCAGAAACCAAAAAAGTTGTGGAAGAAAAATTTGACAGCATACAGTTCAGCATTCTCTCTTGAAGGTGGCAAAATCCCCTCCCCATTCCATGTTTCTGAGCTAGTGGCTCAAAAAGAAAAAAGTATTTCTTTGCACTATAGCACTGCATTACTGATGTGGAATCTACTGATTCCACAACTGCTTTGGGCACAGGAGAACACCACAATATAGTAAGTTGATACTACAAATAAAAATAGTTTTCTTAGATTTAATCAAGATGTCCCATTCCTCAAAGAAGCAGAGGACTTAAGTGCAATCACAACAAAAGATGACTCAAGTAAAAAGTACAAGCTTCTGGCTTTGACTTGTAAAACTTAAATGTCAGTGATGTGAGACAATTTTTCCTATGTAGCAGCCTAGACCCAGAAGTAAAGATCTTCAGACATTTACTGACATGTAGTTGCAACTCAGATTATCTACCAGCTTAAAGCAGTGCAGTATCTCCTTGCATGTGGACGTAGTTACACTTTCCTCACTGAACACATGATTTACACAGTCATGGTAGCCACCTGCAACAGCATTAGTATTACAGGAATGCTTTCACCAACATATTTTATAAGAACTATCCCTGCAATATCTATTGGACACAAAGAGCTGTGGAAGCTAACGGAGGAGAGTCACAGCTTTTAACTGTGGCAGAGAAATTACTACCACTTAGTAACCTCTACTATTCACAGATTCAGTAGATAGCTGGTAATAACCTTGCAGGTTCTAGTTTTCTCCTCTCCTAAATGTACCTTAAGACATAAAACAACAGTTGTCAATAATCAAATAGATTAACTATTTTGCCATTTCGATAAGCAAATGGAGGTGATCCTATGAGCTCCCCCTCTGTCCCCACTATCTTTCATCAGGGAAAGTTTCAATTCTCATTTATTTTCCAACCTAGGAAGTAGTGCTCTGCCCTGCCATTTCACCCTTCAGGTGCTGATATTTTTAACTGCTCAAGAAATACTTGTATGAGACACGCTTTTCAAGTAGTCCAAAAAGGCTCAATTAATGAAACCATAATCTTCTAGTTGTGTTATATGTTCTTCAATTTTTCACTCAAATCAAGTATATGATATACTGTAAGTCAAGCTACCTCAGCAGTTGCAGCTCTTGTACCTTGGACACCAAAAACCTGGAACTGAGGCTCTCTAAAATGCACTCCAAGTCAAACTCCAGTTTGAGATGGTCAAAAAAAGGTACACAGTTAATTAAATTCAGAGCAAGTTAAATCACCGCAGACCTACTGCTTTCTGATAGCAAAGAGTGTTTCATTCTACTAATCCCCAGGTTTACAAAGAAACACCCCCAAATCCAGACCTGAAGTTCATAACCTTTCTCTTGCACTACCACAAAACTAACACAAACTAGCACAAAGCAACAACACAAACCAATATAAACACAGGGAATGGAAGTCACATGTTGGCAATGTTTTTTTATTTTTTCTAGAAATGGCAGTTACCTAGCTCTATAGGTTAAGCTTGTATTTTAGCTCAGTGGTGATCAACAAAGAATGATTAAATCCAAACGTAAGAAGAGACTGATAAAGGCAGAGTTTTGGCTATTTGAGAATAGTTATTCCTGTAGAAACAACTTAGGACATCCCCCTTACCCCCACCACAGTGCTGTGCATCAGACTGTCACAGCGAACTAAACCAGAGGATATTATAAGCTTTGAGATGCAGCACCCAGCTACTCCACTGTGTATCAAAGGCCATCGAGTTTTGCTCAGTGCAACCATTCATATATTCCCCGGACAATGAAGATATGTTAGCAGAAAAGAATATTATTTGTTGTCCAGAAGGCTTCACTGATAAAAGCAAACATGAATCTGCCAGTTTATTAGAACAAATTTAATTTGCTCTAAAATCAGATTAAAAAGAGTTATTTAGAATGGCATGGTCAATGCAAAATATAACTGTCAAACGCAAATTTCAATAGTATTATATGCATAGAGTAGAACAGATTTATTGATTTGTCTTTGACAGCCAGCCAGGAAATTTACTATAATTTTACTACTGAAAACCCCAGCTGAAGAGCTCTTCTGTCAGCTTGGATAAGTAAGTGAATCTTGAAACAGGTGTTAAGACTTACCACACTACCTTCAAAACTAGCAATGTTGCTTCCACAAGGGAAGAAAACTGGAACGCTTTCATATGGTGAACACTTTGACAAGCCAACCGTACTGAGAGGAATGAATGAGAGGTTGTGTGGTGCTTAGTTGCTATCCAGTGTTAAACCACAACACCAACCATCTTACCCTTCAGGTATATCTTCTGCTTACACTATTGAATTAAAAGTATCCAAGACAAAGCTTTAAGTGACAGCAAGTATATTACCAATTTTTCAGTTTTCTGGGTTATTCCTGTCTCCCATTTCATGATGCAATATACTGACTGCTTAATAAGAACCTGTGCTCTTACCATCACCCTCATGAATCCTGCTGAGGTATTCAGCCACCAGACATCTAAGTGCTCTTTTGTAAGGCAAACCTAGCCGATGAGGAAACACTGTTGATGTGTCCACTACTGTGTCATGAATTAGCTGGAAAAGAGCAGAGGCCACAGTTAATTATTACACACCCAGTTACAGTCTTGCACCTCCTTTATTAAAGAAACCCCAACTAGCATCTAAACCATTTCCTTCCTTAACAGTATGCCCAAACTAATCCTTGAGCCCCAAATGCTAGGTCATCTGTCTTGTGTTCCTCTATTCCTTGTAGAATTGCAAACCACAGGCCAAGAACTGTGGAGAAATTGTGCTTTGTGCCGATTTCTGTACATTGCATTGACATTTATTCACTAGTGTGTATATATATACACACACAGTGAACATAAGCAATTCTGTTTTCACACAGCCAGTACTATACCACAAAGTCTCATTTGCTTTAGTCTTTAGATATCACTAGGAGGGAAGCCTATCAAGGCTAAATTCTAATTCCTTCATTAGTAATAATCACAGAATGGTAGAGGTTGGAAGGGACTTCTGAAAGTCATCTTGTCCAACCACCTACAGCTGGTTGCCCAGAAACATGTCCAAATGGCTTTTCAGCATCTGCAAGGTAGAAGACTCCACAACATCTCTGGACAACCTGTGCCAGTGCTTGGTCATCCTCACAGTGAAAGTGCTTCCTGATATTCAGAGGGAACCTCCTGTGTTTCTGTCTATGCCCACTGCATCTGGTCTTGTCACTGGGCACCATTGAAAAAGGCCTGACTCAGTCTTCTTCACATTCCCTTTTCAAGCATTTATATACATTGACAAGAGTCTTCCTGAACAAATGGTTCTGTTTCTTATGGAATATTGCTGCCTTTGATATTTAATAGCATAATTCGTGCATTTCAGGTACCTAAGATAATTACCTGATAGAATCTCTGTAACAGTTACAGAGATTCTAAGAGCAGTACCTTAGTATTACTTGAATTGTCACTGCCTTTTACGTATTTGCCAGCATGCGCTCAGCAAGATCAGAAAACATACAATTCTAGGTTTCTGTGAACCCAGAAATAGATGATATTATTCAGTAGTGATGTAGGGTTGCACAGTTAGGAGCACAAAAGGGCAAAGTAGGAAGCTCGTAAGTCAGAATCTTTACCATACTGTGTTGTACACACATCTCTTCCTTCTCTGAATGTAATATTATCCTTAATACAGCTATCACAGAACAATCAAGTACATTTCATTCTTTTTCATATGTGTTGATCTGCTGAAATGCAACATTCTTTTCCTTTTTGAGATTAATTAGAACACAGTAAAGACAAGTAGTCACCTCTTAAAATTGGCTTGAAACAAGTTATTTTACCTTGAGAGCAAAGAAATCCTTTTCTAAGCTGTGTCCAATTAAAACTGTATCTGCACTGAACAAGTCTAGCAGTATTGCCTGTACATCCCGAAGAGATGTTGTGGCATTCTTCAGATCATCCTCTGTTACTCCTGAGAGTCTAAAGACAGATTTAGAAGAGCTTCATTAACAGAGACACTAAGTACTATCTAGAAGAACTAGGTTTACAGCTGTCCTTCCCCCAGCATCTAAAGTTAGCACTAGGCAGCTTTGAAATCACACAATGTTGAAGTCAACATAAGGCATTTTTTTCATTCTCTTCCTTTTCACCCAGGTAGTGTAAGATAAACTAAGCTAGGTGATATTAACTTAGTTCTACCACTGCAAATGACTGAGCCTGTTTTTTAAGCATGGACCAAAGACAGGGCTCTCAGCAAACAAACAGTGCTGCTGAACAGGTACGAGCACATTATGTTGGCTCTCCTCCAACATTTTTTAGAGTGAGGCTCAAAACCTGTGTTTCTTCTCACAAGCAGTTGCAGGACTTCAAAGAATTAACAGGAACCAAAAACAAGTCTTCCAGGTCTTAATGACAAAACCCAATAGGAAGACCAAATACAAGTGATCTGCACTAAATACAGCCAAATCTCGCCAAGCTGTACAGTCTTATGGCCTCAATGCATCACTTATGACTACACTGCTTTTCTGTGAGACAATATTTATTTGCATTTGCTCCTAGCCCCTTAGGGAATTTAGCAAGTTCTGGGAGGCTTAACTTAATGTTTTTTGAAGCAGAAAAAAAAATCTTCAAATGTAGAAAAAAATCAGTTGAACTAGGCAAGAAGCTTCATTTCTGATTGAAGGTCTTTATGTTACTAGAAATAGACATTTAAGAGAGGCATGTTTCTTTTTATATAGTTATCTGACAATGTATTAAGTCTAATCCTGAAGTATTATAGACTAAGTAGCATACCTTGTATCGTAGTCTAGAACTTTACCATCTGGTTTAACAAGCGTATCATAGACAACCTGTAGGTTAGCATCAACCACTGCCACTCTAGTTAGTTCCATGCCATGAGTTGTGTAACACTGAAGAAAAAAGTAAATTTAACAAGCATTTACACAGCAATGGTATTTCTTTACATTATGTAAGTTGTACAGAAAGCAGAACTGGCTACCAGCTCAACAGATCCAAACAATATTGTTCACTGCATATTCGACATTAAAGGTCTAGTCACATGGAGTCACTGGTCAGACTGAAGGTCTAGTCATGCAGAGTGACCAGCCAGAGTTCTGCAGACCTCCTGGAGACATGAGTGCCAAACTACTGCAGCTCGCACATTGCTTCATAAATAGCAATATAGGTTTCTATTAATTTTTTAGCTTGCTCATACCGTCTCGCAGTCCAGAGAATATATGCCATACGTTCCACCAAAAGGCGGTGATTTAACATATGTCTTCACAAAGCCTTCCAATTTCTCCATTCTCCCATCATGAACATGAAGCTGCAAAGTATTCATTAGTATTTAAGTGCAAGTTTGCTGGATATATCTTGCCCAAGTTTCCAGACAATTTTCTCTAACAGACTCAGAAGCTTATATATACCACTTCTTGTCAGTATTTCCCACATAATTTACACAATGCTAGTAAGTAAACCTAAAAGACTTATACCAGACCTTTCACAAAAGCTATGACAAACTTTTAAGTCAGAAGGACACAGAAAGGAAAACAGAAATACTGCATTATATAAACCTCCTGAGAACATTATTCCTACCTTTCCAATCTGACATCCAGTAGACCCAACTATTCTCTCACAACAGCTATAGCATTTTTCCATGCCACCAGGAACTGCCAAAAAGCAAAGATGAAAACTGAGCAGGTTTTGCAGCAACAGCAATAACAAAAGCAAATCAGTACCCTTACTCCTCCTCTCAAATTTCTTTTCCATTTTCTCCGAAGACTGCAGTATGGAAAGAAGCAAGTCCCACCTACAGGTCCTACCTATGCCAAGATGACAAACTGTACATTGTTCCCTTTTGAGCCAAGGTTTTCATCAAAAAATGAAAGAGAAATACCAATGAATGGGAGAATGAAAGCTGTAGTATGCTCTACAAAGTTCTCCCTGAGGGAAATATTTAGTGTGGCTTCCAAGTATTTAAGCTGTCTCTCAGAAAAGATTACAAGGTTCACAAGCATAAGGCCATACAATGAACACTTCTCTACCTTCATCCCACAGTTGTTTTTAACATCAGCTTTCCTAAAGTGATAGCATATTTAGAGAAAACAGGCTTTACTGATTATCCACAATCCCAAACGAACAGCAGAACACATCTCAGTTGAATCTTTTGCAAAAAAGTTTCATACTCTGATCTTGTTCAGTTTTGACACGATACACTAACTTTTAACAGCTTCCACAAAGATTGAATGCCAAGGATATCTACCTTTTTGTTCTAATACTCTACCAGAATGATAGTTGCACTCTTCTTTACGTATATGTTCTCCTGAAGAAGTAACAGCATATACTTCGCCACACCTACAGCACACTCTTTTGAAAGCTAAAAAAAAAAAACCACAATAAACAGATATTTCCTAGCTGGCTCTCCATGAAGTTAAAAAATGCTGAAGTATAAAAGTTACATGAACAGTAATTGTGAGAGAAGAGTATCAATACATAAGCAGCCTCCCAAGATTAGACATGTATAAAAAACCCCAAGTTTCTCTACAGTGCAGTAAGTTTACCTGCAGCTTCTTCAATTACTATGTTGAAATAAAAATTTAAAAAGACCTATGAAGCTTCATGGTTTAGTTATGAAAGCCTGTGAATTCACTGGTAGTCCAAGCACTAAATAGAGAACACTGTGTTAATGTGTAATTTTGTACACATGTATTTTACTGTTCTGTGAACGACTGAATGAAATTCAATTTTGTCGCAGTCTAGTAGGCACTTACCATCATATTTAGCATTTTTTATAATCCCAGTAAGTATAGCACTACCACTTTTTTCAGGATTTCGTCGAGGGAAGTTATTTTCATTCAATTGTTCCTCAGTCAGAAGATATTTTTTTAAAAGTTCATATAGAGCACCACCTGTAAATGCTAAAAAAACCCCAACCTTTTAAACCTAAAAGTAAACAAACCCAAAGCTTAAGCAATAGCAGAACATTTCTAAGTAGCACTTAAATATTCTAATACTTCCAAAATAAAACAAAATAAATTTTAAGATGTGCAATATAGTTTACGTGCAAAAACTATATGCTTGTACCTTAGAACAATTAGAAGTGACTAGAGGTGAAGCATTATTCAAAACACAAACACTAAACAATAGGGATGTTAATTCACTAGCTATCCCAGAAAGGCCAGGCATGCAATACTAAAGAACATGCTCTCTTCAAACAGAAGTTCAACACTTCTCCCTAAGAATGAGCCTTAATATATAAACAGGGAATTTTGTTGGAAACCTTTGCAGTAGCCAATAGATAAGGCTTGACCAAAACCAGAACATTTCCATACTGAAATAAGCCCATTTATAGGCTTAAATGGAGAACTGATATCTCCCTTCCCCTTCCTTTACCTTTTTCTTCTTCTGACTTTATGGATCCAGCACCACTGGAACACCTGCTGTTACTAAGTTGCCCTGAATGCAGGAAAACATATTTTTAGCATTTCTTCTCAATTATAGATTTCCTGTTAATATCCTAAGCAAATATTTATAAACCAAACCACCAACAAACTTCAGTGATAAATTTCTACAAAAGGATTTAAATATGCAGAAATACCTTCAGTGAAGTTAAACTAAATAATCTTTAAGACACATCTCTGCTGTTCCAACTCCTACACTTACAACTCATTTTAAAAAACATCTTATTACCATGATCCCTCAGCTTTTTGAAAGTCTTCACAGCATAATTCAGGTACATTTTTTTACTGCCACAACGGTCATAAACAGATTGCTCTTCTATCAGGGCCTGTATTTAAAAAAAAAAAAACAGAGACAAGACTGTTAGTGGAGTACTGTACAAAAAGTACTCCATTTAGAATCTGAGATTCTGAACCTAGAGGTAGATACGCATGCAAGTAGTGTCCTAAATCTGAAGTGCAACAGAAGCCAAAGTCAGATGGATGAGACACCTAGAAAGACAAATTCAGTACTTATGAAGCAAAGATCTGTGGGGGAAAACAATGTTCCAACTCAGAATTTAAATCTAATCCTTGGGAGAATTTGAACACTCTTAGGGTAACCATTCCAGGGGCTATGGACAGCTTTTTCTGGTCCTGCTTCAAAGGAGGCATTATTACTTCTTTAGGTCAAGAAATGTTTCCTTAATTTTCTTTCTGTAAAGTCATAAGAAGCAGAAGTGAAAAGAAGGTCCAGCACCTTTTAACTATGAATAAGCACACTCAAACTAAGTATGTTCATTTATCTTCCGGGGAAGGAAAATGCTTCTTCCCTGGTTTTATTTCACTGTTTACACTACCCATGTATTCAACAAAAGAGCAGCTCATTTCAGGCATAAACAGTGCCTTCTAACAATTGCTACAGCAAGTACAATTCACAAGTTACAACCCCTAAGCAGAGGAAAACAGAAAGCAGAGAACTGATGAAGCTGAGAAACAACACAGGAGGAAGATAAAGGGAAGGTAAAAGAAATATTACTTAGTGAGAATGAAAACTCAGGCATACAACGTACGCTGCATAACATACAGGACACAGAGGAAATGGCAGAGTAGTAACATCTGATGTTTTACAAGCTTTCATTCAACATATAATTAAATACATAATTCAACATATAATTAAATACACAGAGTGACTTATCAGGACACCTCCACAAACCCTTTTGATTTCGAGCACACAAGAAATTTATATCACAAAGGTTAAACTTAGGATATTTGCACCTGTCAAACTGTATCTGTTGGCTATAAGCTTGAGTAGCACTTAGTGTGGAGTAAACAGTAAACACAAGATCAAAGGTTCAAAACAATTGAGAGATTTATGGTTGTTCTTCAACTATGTTTTCCTCCTGTCCTGAACAGATCTCAAAGTCACTATTACATTCCAGAAAGCCTCCAGTATTCACAAGAAGATTTTTATTTCACATTTGCAAAAGAGCTTTTTCTTTTTAATACTAAAATTATGTATCTTTTTGGAAGTTAATTAGCAGTGCTGAGTGTTTTTACTTGGAGAAAACTGAAACTGACCGATAACACTGGCAAGTTTAAGATCAAGTACATTTTAACTTCTGCTTACTGAAAAGTCTGAAATGCTTGTCTTAAAAATATTAATCAAAAACCCCACCAACACCTCATGCAAGATAAGACCTACTGATTTAATTCAGGAGTTACAAGGATCTATTATACATTACAAACCTTTTCAGTAGCCTCATTCACTGTGCTACAAATTTTGAAGTATTCTGCAATAAACAACCCAACATATCGTTGTCTTGTCTCAAGTGGTACTTTGGATGCTGATTCTGGAAAGGAAGGTCTTTTCCGAGTAGAAACCTAAAAAAAAAAAGCACCAACCCATACTAATGTATTCAATATGTAACAAACAGCCCAAAGAACTAAAACCAGCTCAGACATATTTTTTGCCTGTCCTCAGAGAGAAGAAAAAAAAATCTGAACAGCTTTTCAGCTGTTCAGAAAACTGGAGCTGCACATGACCAGGAGCCAGAAAAAAGCTATCAGTAGTAGCTGTAGAGGTTTTCGCTGCTTGAACTAAACACAGTAGTATGCTCAAAGTTCTGTGAGGTATTAAAACTATTAACTACTTTTTTTACTACTTTTTTCCTTAGGAAAAGTCCAGTCCTTCAAGAAGCACTAGCAGCTCAGTTAAGTCACGCTGTCCATCTGGCCTTTATTTCAGGAAGTACTTCACTCCGAGCATAAACTAAGGACCCAATGAACTATACTGAGCAAAATGAGTTTAGTTTTAGGAATCTATATCCTTTGTTAGAAAATGCAACATGGAGTTTTTGCTTATCATGATATACGTACTTTAAAATAAAGCACAAAGTTTAAAATAATCACATTTCAAAAATCTAGAAGTTAGGTTAACCACGGTACTGTTGCACCCAAACAGTTACAAAGACGCATTCTGTATATCAAACAAGGAGTAATATGTCTATAGCACATTCATTCACTGAGGAAGATCCTTCAAGAGCCGCATTTAAATGTGCATGCTACTACCAAGAAGGTGGTAATTTTTCCATAAAGGGAACAAAGGCAATGTGTATCATTGTCACAGCCTAGTTTCACCATTACTGAGGCATGTAGTATTCTATTTAGGAAACAAGAAGGTACATATTGGATATAGGAAGCATGAAGTAATCTGTACTTAATATCTTAGAAAAATGTCAATAACTAAACTGACTGAAGCCATAACATTTGACGTTTTTAATTAAAAAGCAAAACTCTGATCTAGTAATTTAGCTGACCCCAAGAATCTTCAGAAACCTCTGCTTTAAAAAAAAGGTTAGTGTCATTTTTCTGAGAAGAGAACCTTATGACACTCTGCTACTCAAGGTCACAAAGCAAAGTTGGCACCAATAAACCAAAATGTGCCTGCATAAACTTTTTGACAAGTTCCTTGAAAGCCCTTTCATTCATAAGGGTACCTCTCTTGAAGCCAAATAAAGCCTTTCATCAGACAATCATCTCCCACTATATATGGCAAGAAGTTTTAAGGGAAAATAACCAACATGCAAGCATGACTTGACTGAAAACAAGCTAGTACTTAATTCTCCCATCACAACCACTTTGATTAACAATTTATACATTTAGTTGCTTACATTTGTGTAGGGCTGGCTAGTATAACCAAGGAAAACGAAAACAAAACTTGCATAGCAACTTGATTAAAGCACACAGAAAAAAAGTAATTTTTTAAAAAAAGCCATACTGTTGTTATCACATTACTGGGTCTACATTATAAAATACTGTTCGAAATCAATTGCAGTTTTTCCAATTCTGTTCCCATTCGTATATCCAAGATCTGCAGCAGTAACTCTACAGTACCTTGCAAGGCACACAAGTAGTCCTTTTGAAGGAACTAACAGAAAGTCCACAGGGCACTGATGTTGTCACATTTCCTCCCAGTAGCATACGCAGTTGACCACTGCTGGCTTCAATGGGCTGAACTTTAAGGAAATTTAAAGATGATGAAACACACACAAGATACAGACTGAATCTAAACTCTAACGGTAAGTTTTATTATTTAAATTACATTAATCTGGAACACAGGCATTTCTTAGGTCCTTTGTTAAAGCAGGGTAAAAGTAAACTGATGCATGGAAGCAAAGCTGGAATGTCAGGAAACACATTCAGATTTCACTTCTACCAACAGATTTTATGTAAAGTGTTCTCCCGTATTTTTGAGATCATACTTCAGTTTGGAGACATTAGAATAAAGCAGCCACACAAGTCAAGTTAAAAGCTATTTTCAAATTGTAATGACTATGATTTTTAAACACCTACTTGTCTGTCTTCCCCATCCCTTTCCCCTCCCCCCCCCAAAAAAAATACCCACAGGAGAATCACCACTCTAACCTCATCTTCCAAGGCAATCATTAAGTGCCTTGAAGCATTGCTTTGCCTTTTTAAAGTCAGGAAGGCTACAGATCTCAGAAATAAAAAATTGTCATGAGATTCTGGAGCTATCCTTGCAGTCATCTTCCTTAACTTTACTTGCATCAGTACCTATTATACAGCAAGACACATTAGTACAGCATGAGATTCACTAATCCTTTTTACAGTCATTCAGAAAGAATGCATACACTGGCAGAATGACTCAATTTTATGTGAAGATGTTTTACAGCATCTATACTAAAAACACAAGAATGAAACTAGAAGGCAGTATTTTACTAATTTAATTGCTATGTAGGTTACTTTGTGAACGTACATTTAAAGCAACAGTAGAACAACTGGAGGGGGAACTGTTTAACTACTATCAAATGCTGAAAATAACTTCTACTCCAGGACTATTCACATATGAAGGAGAATTTAAAAGGAGAAGAACATATGATTTTGAAGTCACAAGACTGAACAAATTGTTTCAAAAGGTCTGAATGCTTCAGACTAGAAACCTAACAGTTGACATCAGTGCTAAAAGGAAGTTTACCAGATTTTTTTTTATTATTATTATTTCAAATGGTGTATCAAAAGATTTTCAACAAAAATGTTTTTCAGGATTTTGGTTAAAACTGTACATGTTCAAAGAACTTAGCACAAAGTACTTGTCCCCTTTTCACTACAGCTATCAAGACTACAAATATAAACTTGTAGTTGGATAGGGTATCTATCTGCACAAGCTAAATGCTCACCACCATTCAACTCAACACTAACATTCACCACCACAAAATGAACACATTCACGTGGTGCCTAACTGAAGCAAAACTAAACTTTAGTTTGTCAAACCTACAGATCAAGCTGTCATACCCATTGGTCCAGTGCTTTGAAACCGAGTAGCTGAGAATCCAGACATAGTTTTCTTCTCTTTAGAAGTTGTAGCAATAAAAGCTTGTCCCTTCTGAACAGCAGCTGCAACCTCCATTGCCTCCCAGCGTGTCTGCTGAATTTTTGCATTGTAACCCTGCTGCCAAGGACACACTTTAAAAGCCGCCATTTCATTTTTGTTAGGTACCTGATACACACATACACAAAACCAGAGTTAACATTCAAGCAGTTCCAAATCACAGCAAGATGGTGTCAAAGTTAACACATTGCTGCTTAAAAGTGAATTTTGCTATCAGATTCAGAGCTCAGCATGGTGCCGCTGGAAGAAAAATGCCAAGCTGAAAGAGCATTGCCACCTAAAATACTGTAAAAGCAGAGAAAGCAACAGTCACTTTAGGTTTCCAAGTGCTGTATTTGCAACCCCATGTTACAAGCTTCCACCCAAACTGACTTTTTAATATTCATTAACTTCAGCTGCCCTGGGCAGCAGCTTACTTCACCGGTGTTAGGAATCAAGTAGTACAATATTTTCTACAACTTTTAACAGAGGAGTTGAGACATTTGTTCTAATTAATTTCAAAATATTTTTACAATTAGATTACAAGACATTGAAGTTCCACATGAGTCTACAGAAATTAAGTAAAGCTATGTTGACCTTCAGTTTATTACAAGATTACAACTCACATCAAATTTTGCTCTGTGTGCAATTCTTCTCTTTTGTCCAGGAACATTTACTTTGGTTTCTAGTAAACTGATATCTGAATTTCCTCCATGGGCCTATTAAAAACAAGAACAGCCTATTTAGACCAACTGTTATGAAGCTTTTGACTTCAGTAATATTCTCATGACCCATGCACTCCAACGCTTCAGGATATTCAGCCAAAAAACTCCCCAGGAAAATTATAATTCCACCAGTATTTGACAGTTATTTTACTCAGAATAGTTAAGCCACAGTACTTTGAAGCTGAGGCAGTGGTACTCACAAGTTCTCACGTTTGTTTATAAGAAGGAGACTACTGAATACACAACTGCCTCTAAAACTTTGCTTATTACAGTAAAAGGAAAAAGGGCTACCCCAAAGCAGATCACCCATTGTCAGACTAGAGTCATAAGTGTTCCTTATGATTTTGTCTACTAGCACTGAAGGCTCAAATATTTAACCTTTACTAACACAAATTTTGTAGAGTATTTGAACTTGACTGTGTATCACATTCCACTCATATGCTCAGAAGAAACCCCCAGGCTCTGAAAGGGAGGGAGGAGGGGGCGGGGAACTACCTGTTTATCATTGTCCTTCTTTTGTGCTTCTCTTTCAAATTCATCAAAAATTCTCCGACATTCCTCTAAAGGATCATCTGATTCAGAGATGTCTGTGTTCTCCCCTCTGGGTTCCTCTTCCTCAGCAGATGAACTTGACAGAGTTACTTCACTTTCTTTATTATTTAAGAAACAAGTTGCATATGGGTATGTATCTTCTGGGCTATCATTATCCCCGTTTCCTTCCATATTCTGGCTTTCCTCTGTATTTATTATTTGTTTATAAGGCCTTTCAATTCTAGTTGCATCTTTTGATGAGGGACCAGTACACAAGACAGACTGTGTTACTCTTCCACTCCTCACACAGTCTTCATTAATAGTATGCTCCTGAACAAATGCTTTCATCAATATACTGGTGTCTGCATTCCCTTGCTTCAGAATTCCCTTCTGCTTGTCTGCCTCAATAGAAGCAGCTGAAATTGTAGGTTTCTCCTCACTATAAGCAAGGGCACCACTTTCCTCCAAAACCTTCAGTATATCAGTGTTTACAGCAGGCAAATTACTCTCATTTGCTTTTGGAGAAACATTGCCTAGCTTTTCAGACTTATTTAAATCTTTGTGGTTCTGCAATATGACAATTCTGTCTGATTTTTCTTCTGTACACCCAAGAATTTCTGCTATTGCACTATCATGTAGTTTTTCTGCACGTACTACAGGAGCCAGCTTTTTCTCCCTCTTCCTATTTGTATAGGCCCTACTTACTCTCTGCTTTTTATTAACAGCTTGTGGTGACACATCAGTGATAAGATCACTTTCTTCATCAGATTCTTGAAGCTGATCTTCATTCACAGCAATTTTCATTACGGAAGAGTTTCTTGATCTCTTTGTGAATACACGACTTCTCCTAAATGTAAACATCTCTGAACTCCCATTCTGATTTTCACATGGAAATATTTCTTTTGGCTTATGATGCTGCTTAGCATTTTCATCCTCATTTGATAGAGAAGAGAGAGAGGGACCTGCAAAATAATTTTGTAGGAGACTATATTCAAGAACAGTTGCTAGGCAACTATAATAATAATGTATTTTTCTAATTAAAAAACAGGCACTATTTGTATACCAGGAAAAACCCACTTGACATGCATGTGCCAAAAAGATGCACCACAACTTTCTCCTTAGGAGAAAGTATCATATTTTAAGACCATTTTCAAGGGTTAAAGTGTTTATAATAATTTAATCATGAAGACTGTATTGTAGAGAGTCCCTTCTGTTCCTCAATTTCATTCTTGACTGGATCTACTGCTATTTTAATCCTTTTCAGCTTTTGTACATCATCTGCCTCTCTGAGGAAAGACAGCTATGACCTTAAATGAAGTCATCCTAAACTGCACTCCACAGATTTCAGCTGAGGAAAATGAAATACTCCATTTCATTAATTATGCACAAGACTACAAGTCTCATGGCCCAAATACCTGGTAACATTTCAAGCCAGGCGTATCTATAATTGTGCACAAACTTTAGCCAGCCTTGAAAGTCAAATTTTCCAACTGATGACTTAAGCAACTAATGGCTATATTTTTAGCTTTTATAGGCTGTACACTGCTTACCAAAATTCCACCTGGCACTTTCTCAAGGCACTATCTCCATCCTCACACAGATACTTTGGCAAATCACCAAGTATACTGGTTATTTACCTCCAAAAATTTCATTAATTTTATATAGACCCTGTCATCCAAGAGATCCATTAGCATCAATCACATATTTTAACAACAATGCTATTCACATTGTTATTTAAAAACACATGTCACCATTTGATTTCAGCAATTAATTTATCAGTGATTACAAAACACTTCAGGGAAGTACTAGAAAGTTACATTTTGTTAGTGAATGGGATCCTTTCCAGATCACTCAAAAATAAGTAATTTTGGCATTAACACAATAACAATACAGTAAAACAGGGCAGTACCACAAAGCCTCACTAGCCTCTTGTTGTGGGTTAACCCTGCCTGGCAGCTGAGCCCCACGCTGCTGCTGTCTCACTTCCACAGCGGGAGACCATAGAGAATCAGAAGGGTAAAAGCAAGAAAGCTCGCGGGTAGAGATAAAAGCAGTTTAATAGGTAAAGCAAAGCTGTGCACACAAGCAAAGCAAAACAAGGAATTAATGCAGAACTTCCCATTGGCAGGCAGATGTTTAGACACTTCCAGGAAAGCAGGGCTTTGTTGTGCCTAACTTACTTCAAATGCCTCCCCTTCCCACTTCTTTCCCCAGCTTTTATCGCCAAGCACATCATATGGTTTGGAGCATCCCTTTGGTTAGCTTGGGTCAGCTGTCCTGGCTGTGTCCCTTCCAAACTTCTTGCCCGCCCCCAGCCTCCTTGCTGGCAGAACACCATGAGAAACAAAGAAGCTCTTGAGGCTGTGCAAACACTCTTCAGCAATAACTAAAACATGGGTGCGTTACCAACATTGTTTTGGTCAGAAACCCAAAACTTACCACCATACAGAGAGCTACAGAGAAAACTTACTCCATCCAAGCCAAAATCAGTATACCTCTCTACCTCAAAGAAATACTCTGAGCCACTACGAGCTGGTAACTGTTCTTATCAGAAATACAAATAATCAGAGAGGTAGTGTTTCCCCACCTTTTATACAGCTGAGATACCATTTATGTAGTAATCCATGCTACAGGATTATTCTTTGACTAACTAGAGCCTGAGCAAAACTTCAGGGTTCAAGCTTCAAGCTGCTAGATATTGCAGAAGCCATTTAATGACAGATGTTGGTCGCCTGAAAGGAAACACCTATGGACTCAGCCTTCGACAAGTCACATCATGCTGCACAGTCAGCGTCCTGCAAAATCAGTAAGTGGAAGTCAGGAAGGGAATGACTCCACGCAGTTTGTTTGGGTTTTTTTAACCCAACTGCCACAGACCTTAGCAATCATCAAATTTTCCCAGTACTTTTTCGAGGCTGCAGTTCTTAATGGTCAAGCACATAAATCTTTAAGAAATAAACCATTACCATTTACAGGTAACTGTGAAAATGAAAGCTCTTGCTGTACGGAAAGAGACTACATGCACAGTGGGAACCTGTAGTGTGACTTAAGTTTTGGCACTCGTAAGCTGTGAAGGCAGAAAGTCAGTAGCATCTGCTGAAAGACCACAGACATGACAGAGTAAGAATCACTTTGATGGTTCCTTAGATTACACACTTATCAAGGAGCTCTTAAAACTATCAATGTAACTCACAGCAAACAACATGGAGGAGACCAATCCAAGTTCAAGGTAATCAGAAAGTCCCATTCAGAAGCAGGTTGCTTTTTTGATTAACATAGGCTGTTAGTATTGCTAAATTTTGTGGTTTCCACTTTCAAGTCATTTTAATACTCTTCCTTCACCTCTCACACCCATTTGGCTTTATTGCCAACAGTTTGAATACACTACTATTTCTGCTAATGAGGTCTAGTTTACAGTTGCCTGAAAACATGTGGTCATAAGAGGAACATGACAAACATCAAAAGAGTTTGCTACAAATCTTATTATGCTTAACAAGAAAGTGGAGCACCACTGGAGATGCACACTGAAGATTCAATAGAAAATGCCAGTTATTAGCTGACTTGCAAGCCAGCTCTCTGCAGACTGCTAATCCTGGAAGGATAGCAAGCATCTTACAAAGACTAAAAGAAATTCACATTAAAATTTCTGCTCTTCATTACAAGGGCTAAAAGTCATGCAACCGCAAAGGAACAGTGATAATTCTCCTACCAAGAAAACGAGAAGTCACCAGCTTTTATTATACTATCATACATCAGTTCAAGCAATCCTCTCAAATTCAGGTGTCTGAAGCCTAACCCCAGGCACAAACATCAGTTTATATTCTAATCCTAGGATTGCTGCTGCTGTTTGCTAAGGTGGGAGTGTTTGATGGTCTTTTTTCCTCCTAAGAGCAAAAGCAAAAGCAAGACTGTAAAGACCTCCTATGATGTCATGCCACTCCAGCTCTCACTCATGACACCACAGCTCTTCAACTACCATTCTCCAGCAGCAGAAACTAAGCCGTGCCCACGCCTCAGCGCCTTT